GACCCAAAGTAACCGAAAGCCTTTCTCGCCCACAAGCCAAATCTAACACCCTCTTTCGAAAAGGTTACTTGTCATACGTTTCACGAGGTTTAGAATTTTGGAGCGACAGAGTCGCAATCTTCCGAACCCGACAGTATCCACACTGATCTACAAAACCAACGTGGGTTTCACCCTGTCCTATTATAATTATAGTAATAATCGATTTATCCTTGGTATTATTATCGTTATAGGTTAAAGACAACAGTTATAAAAAATTATAATAATAATATTGAGGGGACAAACTTATTAATAACTTGTTTATTTGGATATTTCTTAAATTCCCCAAAAACTTATTCAAATTATCGCAAATAACAAACTTATAATAGTTTTCATATTCAGTATTCATCAGTATTAAACTTTATTTGCACAAAAACAACAAAATATTAAAAATTATATTTCATAATTTGCAGCAACAAAATACCAAAAACCAAAAAATTAGGTCAAAACCTAAATAAATAAATAAAAACTGAAAAAGTGCTTTCTTAACAAGAAAACAGAAAGTTAGTAAAGGGAACAACTAACTCATAAAAAAACATCTTAAATTAAACAATAAGATATACAAATAAAACAAAAATAAAAAAAAATAAAAAATAATCAAAATAAGATTAAATTTTGTAAATTGGAGAATTAATAATAAGTTTAGACCTTTGTGCTTATTCTTGATCTGTTTATAAAAAAAACAATGTAATTTAACAAATAAGAAATAATTAAAAAATAAAGCCAGTTAAGATAGACAAAAAAATAATTCCTATGACGACTTGTAAAAAAAAGAAAATTTTTTTAACAGTATAATTCCGATTAATTAAATTCTATTGCACCCAAATGGATCTTGAATACAACTTCCTGTTGATCTTTGACAGCATAAACCTTTTTGACATTCATCATTAGAAGAGCAAAAAATTCTACCAGTAGCACAGTAGCAAATGTTATTATTAGAGTCTTTAATTCCAGGAGCACAACAAGGACCATTAGAACCATAAGGTTGTCCACATTGTGTACAGTATTCTTTGGATGTTTCATTAATACAGGTTTTAGTAATTTCACTGCACTTAAAACCTTTAGCACAATGACAAGGTGAAAGTGGTCCCAAACACATTTCGTCCTTAGTAGGCAGTTTCATGCACTCATAACCTTCATCATATCCAATACAACAATGTGTGTCCTCATCGCAGGATTCGCCTCCACAATCTACAAGTGCGGCATTTACGACTGATCTACTAATCATTAATAAAAGTAATAAGTAGATAATAGATTTCATAATATTAATTCCTTTTAAAATTAATGTGTTTTAGTGAAAAATTAAAATAATGTGCTAATTAGCTAGAGAATAATTAAAAAAAAATTTCGACAAGTGGTTGTAGTACATTCAACAAAAACATTTGGGCTTTATATATCTAAAAATACTTGAACAGTCGGTTCTTAGGATGGCTCTGAAATTCAAAAAAGGAAATTGCAATACTGTATCACTTAGTTATTAATTATTGTTTTAATTTCCTTTTATAAATTTCGGAGCCATCCTTAGTCGATCCTCCCTAAATGCAATTTTCCTAAATGCAACCTTCCTAAATGCAACCTCCCTAAATGCAACCTCCCTAAATGCATGGCCTTGTTTGGCCCCAACACATATAATCTATATAGATTTTTACTTTCCTAAATGCAAGATTTTTTGATTTATTTATATTGGCCCCTCGGCTATGCATTTAGGAAGGTATAACTGTATATTTTTTCTTTCGTATGTAAACATGCGCATACATAATTATAAAATTACATAACCTATTGGGGCTTCAGATGTACTAATTGATCACTATGTAACCTGCAATATGTAATTTGACTAATACGAAACACCTATTCAGATATGAGGATAATTATAGCAAAATTTTAAGGGGTTAGTAATTAAAAATCCTAAAATGTAATTTTTTTCTATACAGCCAAGCCTTCCTAAGTACAAGTCATAAGGACCAAACTTTTGATAGCTTGTATTTGGAGAACAATAAGAAAAATTGCATTTACAGAAGTTTGATATGAATATGATAATAATAAATACTTTTAATTGCGCTGTAGTAATGTTACCTATAGCGGTTTGATATATATATATTTGGGCCAGAGTTAAAGGTTGCATTTAGAGAGGTGTTGCACTTAGAGAGGTTGCATTTATGGAAGTTTGTATTATACTGATCATTTGATGTAAAAATCTTGGAAATATGCAATTTGTACGTTACCCCTCGGTTCTAGCCAATAACTTAGCATAATCATACAATTTATCTCTTGTTGATTTATACAAACTAGTACAAATTATTTAATACCAATACGCACGCTTGTACGGTACAGAAAATCCAAAAACCTCATTGTAAATTTCCAAAATCGGATATCGTTGTAAATTTCCATAATCTAGTGGTGTGATCCGTTGATCGACAATCCGGATAACTGTTTGAAATCCGTATTTTGTGTAATATGGATCATCCGGATGCATATTTTTTTTGTTTTTTTTTGTTTTTTTTAAAAGAGTAAGGCCTGGTATTGGACACCTAAAATTATAAACAATCCCACCAAAAGATGATTGTGTAGACAGAATACAGCACTCCACGTTATCTTATCATCGATTTAATAAAGAAATAAGAAATCAAATTAATGTTGAAAAGGTTGATTCGTTAAGTTTTTTAGATACCTCAAAAGATAATTTAAACGATGATTGGGAGTTATTTGTAAATAATATTAGAAATGCAACTTCTGAAGCCATTAAGGTATGTGATAAAAAAAATAGTGCGTTATTTTCAAATGTTCAAATCTCATAAGTTTACATGACCTATAGGTTCAATACGCAAACTTAGATTACAAAAATGAAAGTGATCAAGATGAGCAAATAGACAATAGAATCCTCGAAATTCAGCAAGGTATGAATATAGTGAGGGATAAAATAAAGGGAGAATATAATGACTTCGATATATTGCATGCTAAAATGCGCAATGAAGTCACCAACTTATTGGAAGAAATTAATACTGAAAATACAAAATTAAATGTTCGATTATGGGGAACTACTGCCTATGAAATCGGTGTAAAAGAAGTTCCTTACTCTTGGAAAAATAGAATAAAATTTCTAGGCTGAATAAAATGCTTTATATCTAAACGCTAAAATGTCTATATATTTCATTACAAACAAAGAATTCATATCTTATCAAAAAGGGTGTTATTTTGCGACGTGAATGCACTGCAGTCACCAACCATATGTCCTAGTGCTAACCAAAAACTCTTTAATATGCTATTTATTAGCATTTATAGTTTAAATCTTATTTTGTTACTACCTCATAATTATGTGATCAAATTGGCTAAATAATAGGCTTAATGCTATGCTAGCCTTAATTAGCTCTAAAGGCAAACACTCATCTTCCATCGTTTCCTTTCATCGAAGAACATCTGAATACTCGTGATATCGATTTTTAAATAGAGAATTCGGAAAATTACTAACGAAATTGAAGTACAGTTAATAACGCAATCGATAAGTAGTTTATAATTATTGTTTCTTTTTTTAATAATGATAGTATTATTACTAACACCTTTTTGATCCAGATGATTCGATAACATTTATATACGGAAAAGTAATTCTCTATAATATTGACATATCACGGGTAAATTATTGGTGAAATGATGAAAAATGCCGATGATAACTGATAGGTTTTTGTGAATTTTTTTCGTTGATCAGGATTGCTAGTGAGAATTTTTAAAAGCAATTCTCTTTTGGGCTTTTCAATATTGAGCACTAGCTTTTAAGCCATTTATTTAGTCAACTTTATTTATTTACTTAAATTAAATCGTCTTCTATCAAATTTTAAACCCTTTATATCATTATACCAAAAAAATTAATATTATCTTTTTAAATTAAAACTATAAAGAATATACAGTTTTGAACTTATATTTATAATAAAAGAAATTACTAATTTTCCAAACCATAATATGTAAAATTCATCTGACGCAAAATTATAAAATTCTCATTGAACGGGTCTCAGAATTATTAAAATTTCGCTTTTGCTGGATGAGGGGATGGGGCCTTGACGTTAATGGGTCTTCAAAATGGTTTCCTACATGCTATGGTTATCTACATGTTTTTGTTATTAAACACTCATATATTATTCCATGGAATTTGCAAAGGCCAGCCGTTTCACATGCTTTCAACACCAATTAACGAGTGAAATAGTGATAACGCAAAAATTTGACGGTCCCGTGACTAATTAAACAATTATATCCTAACTTTCATAGTGATGGCGCAAAAATTTGGCGGTCCCGTAACTAATTAAACAACAATGATATCCTAATTTTCGTAATGTTTGCATTAACACAAAGTAGAAAGAATTATCTAAGTTTTTGCACCGAAAACTTTTATTTAATAACAAAAGGCTAATTTCCTTTGCGAATTCATGGTTTTTTTTAAGATTTCTTGTTTTTTTTTTCTCCTTTAAATTTTACTTCACATTTTGTATATTATACGCTGATCTTACAATCAGATTGGATAAGAATCACGGGACCGCCAAATTTTTGCACTCCCAATTATTGCGGTTTGCAAAATTATGTGAAATTTGAAGATCATTAAAAAAAAAAAGTAATCACGATTTCTGATTACTGATTTCCGATTTCAACATTTTTTTGACTTTTAGACCTGATGCAATTATTTGTAAAAATTTGATTGAATATTTTAATTCGCAACACCTATTTTTGCAAATATGTTACAAAAATGATGAATATGCAACTTTTATTTCCATAAAAATAATAAAATTTTTACAAAATAATAACTGCACAAAATTTTGTCTAATCTAAAAGTCAAAAAAATATTGAAGAAATCAGAAATCAGTAATCAGAAATCATGATTACTTTTTTTTTTTTAATGATCTTCAAATTCACATAATTTTGCAAGCTACAATAATTACTTGAGAGCATTTATTTCAATCAATCCTTTTAATCAAGGTGAATCAGTTATTTGATTATATGCATTTAAAGAGAAAATAACAAATATTTAGCAATGAATAAATTTTAAGATATTTGTGCATTATAAATTTGTAATGATTAATTATTATTAATCTAACCTATTATTTAAAGAACAAATTAAAATAACACATCTTCTCGTTATTTATTGTGGTTTGCAAAATTATGTGAAATTTGAAGATCATTAAAAAAAGGTAATCACTGATTTCCGATTACTGATTTCCGATTTCTTCATTTTTTTTTGACTTTTAGACTTGACAAAATTTGCGCATTTATTACAGTCATCCCTCCATATAGTCGCCTCTCATATAATCACACCATATGTAATCACATTTATTTTTAGGTCTAACTATGATTTAATTTATAAGAAAAAGGCCTTCATATAAGCACAACTCTTATATAAACACATTTTAAAAAAAATTTACTATGTGCCCAACTGTGTGATTTTATGGGAGGATGACTGTATTTGTAAAAATTTGATTGAATATTTTAATTTGCAACTCCTATTTTTGCAAATATATTACAAAATGATGAAGATGCAACTTTTATTTCTATAAAAATAATTAAATTTTTACAAAATAATAACTGCACAAATTTTGTCTAATCTAAAAGTCACAAAAATGTTAAAGAAATCAGAAATCAGTAATCAGAAATCATGATTACTTTTTTTTTTTAATGATCTTCAAATTTCACATAATTTTGCAAATTGCAATAACTCACACTACATAACTCATAATTGCAGTAAAATGTATTGATCTTTTTTTTGAAATGAGAAAGTATTTTTTATTTTTTTTAATTTATAAAAGTAAAAAATTTACAACAAAGTTATATTACTTACAATGATGATAATATTTTAGATGTTAATAGACTCAATTATAAAAACTAGATAATATAGCTGAATATTGACTACCTTTCTCAATTTCTATAATTTTTCCAAACTCTTCACATTCAAGTTCGAATGGTAATAATTCATTATTTTCATTTTGATTTCTGAAAGCATAAGTTCCACCAAATCCCCAAGTATACATCTTATTTTTATTATTGATCATCATAGAATGATGATCTCCAGTCGCAATATATTTGTAATTATCAAGAATAATTTTGACAAGAGACTTTTGTTTTTCTTCTGAAGTACCAATGCTAGTTGTTTATATCCAGTACTGCCAAAACTATAAACATTACCATTTTCTAGAAGGACTGACATATAGTGAAGTCTTGCAAAAATTTAGTTCACTTTGAAAAGTTTTTTTTGAAGAATTCCAACTTTATTAGAGTTATAATAGAATTTGGTGATTCACTGCCACACTGGCCTTCTGTATTTTGATCTATGTATATATCATTTCATCTTTGTGAATTGCAAAATTCTGATCTTCTCCAGCAAAAATCTTTCTAATTCAGTTGATTGATATTTTTTCAGGAATTAACATTAAACTATTAGGCTTACAAACTAATATTCTTCTTTCAAGTTGATAAGAATCCATCTACCCAAAAGTATATAAATGATCATTAGTCATCAAAACTAATACATAATTCTCTCTAACTGCAATATTGGTGTTTTTTAAATGAAAAAAAGGTTATATTTCACAAATATTAATTGCTTATTAATTGCTAAAATAAACCTAGTTTTTCTATTATTATCTTTAAAAACAAAATATAAATTATTATTATAAAAATATTAATCTTATATAATTTTAAAAAGATGCCTACCAGGGTTGTTAAATTACCATATTTTTCAAATTTTTTGGTAAATTACCTGAGCTATTTGGTAAATTATCTGTAAGTTTACCTTGAGTTATTTTGAATAACAAAGTTTGTGCAATATAAATTATGTGATTTGATGACTAAAATTTTTTTTAGTCAATTAAATTATATAATTTACAAATAGATCTATATATATAAAGTAAATTTATTATACTTTCAGTAAATTATCTAATAAATTATCTTAATTTACTGATAGTAATTTACTACCTAACAACTATGATACCTATATACTCTAAATATTCTGGTAGTATATAATTGACCTTTATCAAATAAAGCCAGTATTATACTTGATCTACAAATAACTTTGACTATAACTAAATTATCAAGATCTTAAGCATATACTGGCACATTCTTATTAGTTTCTTTTAGATTTTTTTCACTTTTAGAAACTCTGCCTAATATCTCTTTAAATATATTAAAAATTAGTTTGTATAGTAAAAAAAAACTAAATTTAATAACTTATAAATACATTCTACCTTTATTATTGCAACCTCAAATAATATTCTAAAAGTAATATTAATAATTTAATCAATTAAAACTTTTTTATTATCAAATATATATTAATTTTTTTGCTTTTCTATCTTGAGTTAGAGTTGCTACATATAGATTTCCACAACTAATTTTTACAATATAAACATTAACCAAACTTTCAACATATGTAAAATATTTTACTTCTTTAACATTATTTTCTAAGCCAAGTTTGCCACAATTATTGCTACTTATAACAAACAATTTTGTATATTTTGAATTATAAGTAGATAGCTTAGATATTTTTATATTAATCATCTAGTGTATTCTTTTTTATAGTATTTTTTTAGAATTAATTTTTAAATTTCAAGAAAGTTTTGTAGTAACAAAGTATGCATATAATTATAATTCAACTCTAAATTAATAAGTCTTTTTATAGTGAACTAGTTAATGAAAAATTTGATATTTTTTATTATCTATATATATAATAATATTTTTTATTATAAAAACTGGTTTTTATACTATTATTAACAAATAATTTATATAATATATTAAGTGTTATAGTTACAATTTGTTTATTTAAATTAATATTGATATATAAAAAAAATAAAATAAACTATTTAGATTAACAAAATACTGTAAAAAATCTTATTTCTTAAACTGTAAGACTTTTTTAGGCAAATTTGCTTGAAAATTATTATAGATATGCTTATAATTTTCTTTTTTTAAATTTTAATATATTTAAATAAAATTTTTTTTGATAATATTTGAAAATAAGAATTATATTATAGTAGTATTTAATTTTATATTATAAGAAAAAGTTTTAGTTGTTATAAGATAAAATAGACTAATTTAGAAAAAAATTTTAATAAAAAAAATTATCTACTTATTCTTGGCAAATTTTTTAAATATTAATTTTAAAAATATAGCTCTTAATACAATATTTTAACTTATATAAAGAATAATGTTTTTTATTATTATAACTTTTATAATTTATTTATAAAAATTTAGACTTGTATTAAGAGCAAAAATTTTTTTAACTTCAAAAATATATAAAATCTTAAAAAATCTTAAAAAATTTTTAATAGTAAAAATTTTTTAACAAAAACTTTAAAGTTTTATTGCTCAAAAGTTTATTAATAATTTTAAAAAACTTTTATAATAAAGTTTATAAAATATACTCTTATAAATATATTTTATAAAGAATATATACCTTATATTATTAATAAATTATTGTTTTATTTAAAAAATACTAAATACAATTAAATTTTTTAGGCAAATTTGCCTGGAATATAGTTTAAAAAATAGTAAAAATTAAAAATATATATATCTTTTAATCTATCTAACCAATTTTAATAATCTTATCACTATTAAAATCAGAAAAATTAGTTTTGCAACTTTTATTTTATTATTTTTTTTAATTTTTAGCAACTTTGCTTGTAATCCTTTATTAAGATTATTATATAAATAGATTACATAATGTTGAGTTTAATATTTAGGCTTGGCATCTTCTAACTACCTCATAAATGCCAGAAGCAGTCTACTACACTGGTCTAAAATTTGTTTCATAACTAGAAGGCTAATATTAAATTAGTTGCACAAACTATACCAAAAAGGTTTGCAACTATTTGAATTAATTTTCTAAAGCTATTAAACTATCTATTTTCTATTCTTTTTATACCTTTTTTTTTTCTTTCTTTGATCTAACATTTCTTTCTAATCTCTCTGTATTAATTTTATTTTTTGAACCTTTTCTTGTAATATGTTTTAACTATACTTGGGTTTGATTTCTTCTTTTTTATTAATCTGCTATTATGTTTTTTTCTAGTTGTAATACCTCTACTAATTTCTAGTTTTTATATTGTCTTGCATCTTCTTATTTATATATTCTTATAAAAGCAGATTTAAACTATGTTTATAGTAAGCTTGATATAAGTCTTGGCTTCTTTTCTTGATAGTAAAGACTCTTGTATTTTCTTTAACTTGTCTTTATGTACTAGTCTCTTGATTGTTTCATTCTTATTTCAGAAGATTCTTCTTTTAACTCTCTCTAGAAAGTTCTTTCTCTAGATTTTTGTTTGTTCTCTTTTGAGTTTTCTCTAAAAAAAGTGTCTATGCTATATTTGCTACTAGTTTTTCTGCAATTTTTCAGTTATTCTTTTGTTTTTTGCAACTCACTAGATAGTTTTGATCTTCTTTGACTTTTTCATTACATATTATGCAATTCAAATCTTAATACAGATCTAGATGTCTTTATACTAGTATCTGAAGTACAGATAACTTATTATTAGTATATTTGATTAAAGCTCTAAAATATTCATTTTTTTAATATTAGACTATATAAACTTGTATTTTTGGTTCTCATAACTGGTCAGGTTACCAAGTTTGAAATAAAAAATTTTAATTTTTGGATACAATAAAAATTAACCAATCAAAATTGGCTATATATATATAAATTTTATTTCTATTACTATTTCACTTCTATAATATTTGACTATTATCTGAGTTTATATCTAACTATAAGTAACTATGACTAACAGATAACTATCTAATATACAAGTAAATATATTATAATTCTATAGCATATAAATAACTATAAGCTTTTACTATAAGATAGTTATTGCTAATTTTTTAAGTGCTTTAGAATTTATAAAACAGTGTAAATAGTGCAAATTGTTAATAGATTAAGTACTAAAATCATTTAAATTAGGGTGCTAAACTGTTTAAAATCAATTATAACTCAAAAATATATTATTATCAAAACTGGTTCAGTTTATATAATAAGGTAGCTATGCAGCATATAGTGCTATGCAAAACCAGTATAAGTGGTATTAGTAAAGTTTATACTATATATGTGAGTGCTTAGATATATACAGAGTTGAGTTATGGTAACTGGATTTTTTAAATACACTGTACTGTTATCTTAGCCACAGAGATTACAACCTATTTAGCAAAAATCTATGCACTACTACAGTAGCTATAGAGCTTAAAACAAGGCTTTTGTATTGCTAATACAGCTATAATAACTAACTGCTAGTTCTTATACTGCTACTATAGTTTAATTGCTACAAAAATCAGACATTATACTACTACCATAGCTGTGGGCCTAATTACTAAAGTTCTTGCACTTTTAACTACAGTCTTGGAGTCTAATTACTACAAAAACAAAATTCTTGTACTACTGCAACCTAATCACTACAAAAACAAAACCTTTGTTCTACTGCAGCAGCCACAGAGCTTTATAGTTACAAAAATAAAAAATTAAAAACTAGTTCTTTACACATTACTGTATAATATTACATCTTGTTATACAAGTTAGCCATCAAGTATTTAAACTTATCATGGGTCACTACACTATGAATAAGATAGAAGGGATAATAGAGTAGCATTCTTGCAAGACAAGCTTGTTTTACTAAAAATATTACTCTAAATACACTATATTACATCTTTTTTCTCCATCTCACTGATCTGATTCATACTTGAAGCCATATAAAAATTATTTACTTTAGTACTAATTTGTTAATATTCAATTTGTTCACCACTTAATGATTATAAACTTAACTAAAAAAATTTGAACTAACAAGAACAATATAGCAAACCATTATAGTTTATAAAAGATCAATCTAAGCATGTGATCTATAAAGTCATCTGATCTTGCAATTCAATCTGGTTTGAGATATATATTGTTAGATATCAGTATGCTTAACCAGAAATAGCTACAGATAACAAGCTACTTATTATAAAAAAATTAAATTTTTTTTGTCAAGAACATTTATCTCATTAACAATAATGATAGTATTAAACATTAATTATCTGTTTTTATTTACTAAAAAAGACTATCTAATATTATGCTCCAAAATAAGAATAAGTTTGTTTACAGTTATAATAAGGGATAGGCAAATTGAAATTTATTGTATAGGCTACAAAAATGCTCAGCTGCACAGACCCAGTTTTCTGCAGATGTGGGCCATAATTATTAAATTCTGAAATATTCTGAATTTCTGAAAAATTCTGCCTGCATAGTGGCCTATCTTTAAACTAATACTAGCTAGTCAGAGTGACTTGACTGACTAACATAACTAATGATAATCAGTGTTTTAAATGTAATTTTCACATGCATATATTTTTTTTATCCAGAATAATGGCATGTGAAAATGCCATGTCAGTACATTTTATCTTAACTTCTACTAAATTTGAATAAATAAGAACTATTACTTATACTAAAAAAAAGATTTTTCAAAAATCAGTATAGTGAAAATCAAAAAAGTTGAACAGAATCTTCCTCTATACATTTTATATTACACATATATGTAATTGTACTGGTATAAGCTCTACAACAGAAGTTTGCACAAACTATCCTAACTCTAACTGCATATTGTGTATTATTAAAATAATAAGTTATATAACAGAATTTTTATGACACTGTATATATAAAACAGATAAAAGACTATTTTTTATTTTATAGAGTTACTCAAATTGGCAAAACTTAAAGTTTGAATATTTAGCTAAATATTTTTTTATTATAAAAATTTTTTGCTAAGTATTGGGTTACTACTTTGAGACTAATATTTTTAAATAATAAAATTTTTTAATTTAAAAATTAAAAGCTAGGTTGGCAGGTCAAAATAAAAATTTAATATTATGAGAACCAAAAATACTATTTTTTATAGTCTTATATATCTAACTTTACTATTTTTTTAATTTACTTTTAAAAATAGGTTTACTTGTTAGCTTTAAGATTCTCCTCTGGCTCTATTTTCTGTATTGCTTTTGATTTCTTCTAGTCTACACCTGTTTTAAATCTAGTAGTATTTTGATTACTTGTCTTACTAGATATTCAATAAGTGGTTTATTCTAGTATAGTAATATATTTGATCTCAATAGAGGGTTAAAGATAATTCTATCTATATTTATTACTATAGCATCTTGTTTTGCTAGACTATCTGCTTTATTATTTTAACTTTTTTGCTATAACCTTTAATTTTGACTAAATCTAATTAAATTTTTGTTTTTTGGTATTAAGGTGAGGCCTTGCTTATATCTTTATTAATAGTTTTTAAAATAGTAACTGCAGAGAGTTACTAACCTTTGAATATATAGAATATAAAAAAGTAAAAACTATATGCAAGAATAAAAGCTCAAACTACTTTATCTGTAATCTAAACCTACTAGAGCAGTTAAAAACTCACCTAGATTGTGGTGATAGTTAAAGCTTCTTTAAGTGATACAAAAAAAAGAAAATAAAAGAAGAGTAAATAGAGTATTTTGTTGAATAGATTTTGAGATAGAACTTAATGGTAGAGTAATTTGTATAATTGATAGTATAATATAATAAAGTATAAGAAAAATAATTGTCTATATATAAAGGTTTATATAAGAAAACTAGTATATAGAATGTTTAGTATATTAAGTTATATAAAGATATAGAATATAAAAGTAGAAGAATAATAGAATATATAAAAATATATAATTAATATATTAAAGTATAAGGTATGATATAAGTTGAATTAAAAGAAAAGGCTATCATCGATTTTAGAAATTTTTTATTTAATAGTAGAGTTGTTGAAAGAGTGAAGTTGTTTGTTAATTTTAGAAGTTTTAGTTTTTGTAGTAGAGTTAATAAAGTGTTGTTGCAGTTGAGGTTGTTGTTGTAAAGTATTAGGATTTGTAATAATGGAGTCTGTGTAAGATATAGTTAAAATAGAAAGTTTAAGTTTTTTAATTAAATATTGATTTGCTTGATCAAGGTATGATTTCTTTAAGTTTCTTTTAAAAGCTGTAATAGTTTGTTTGGAGATTTGAGTAAAATCATAGTAGGCAATAATTCTGGCCAAGATTTGTGATCTGTAAATTTGAAAGAAATATTGTTAAGTGCTTCTTTGAGATTAAAGTTTGTAATTTGATCATTAGTTGCAATAATTATTAAATATGCTTTGAGGTAATTGTAAAAAAAGAATGATATTTGTTTAGAACTTAAAGTTTGGAGATTTGTTTTAAAAAGTTTTAACTTGTTAAGTTTGATAAGGTTTGGGTTAAGTGTGATAAATTTTTGTTCTGCTTGGCTAGCAAAGTTGTAAAAATCTTTAAAGGAAAAGACAGTAGAAAAAGTAGTAGTATGAAGTTGGCTAAATAAAAAAAATAGAATTATCTAAAGTTGGATAAGTAAGTTTAGAAGCTGGTGATATTTAAAAAGAAAGTTTAAAAAAATAAGTAGTTAAATTACAAAGATTATGTATAGTATTAGATGTAAAGATTGTATATTTAGTTAGATCTGTATACATATATATATGATGTAATGCAGTTTTAATAGCAGTATTTGTGCAGTTTTGAATAGATAGAATAGTAGAAGGTTAAATCATCTTGGAAATAAGTTTTTTGTATTCCTTATCTATTGTTGTTACTATTTGGAATTTGATATAATTGTATACCTTTTGTTTATTAATAGTGTTGAATTGCTTTTTGTAGTATTTAAAAAATTTTTGGAACCACTTATTAAATTCTGTTGAAAATAGAGAGAAAGAAAGAATGTGATATGTTGTTGAGAATTTTTGTAAAGGTATATTAATAGTAATATTAATATAGAATTTAGGGTATTGTTAATTTGGAAAATAGGAGTATTTGTATGATTGGTTTAATTAATATAAAAGAATATATATAAATATATTAGTTTAAGTTTTAAGTCTTGAAAGAATTTTTGGAATCAATAGTTTGATATTGATTAGAAAGAAAAAGGTGAAGTCTAGTCAAATTAATAATAATTTGAAATCATTTTTTAATAGAGTAAGAAGGAATAAAAAGATAGGAGTTAAATATTTTTAAATAATTAAAATATTAAAAGAAAGTAATAGTAAATATCAATAAAAGTTTTTTAAGAGCTATATGAATAAAGTTAATAGGAATATCTATAGGTTGAGTAATATGAGAGTATGAATTTAAAATAATATCTGTAAGGAATTTGGGTTTTTGAAGGGCCATAGTATGAAATATAAAATCGAAATTGTTTTTAAGAACTGGTTTGTTAGTTGTAGCAGGTTGAATAGTTGAATCAGGATAAAAGTCTTTAAGGAAAGGTTTTAGGAAGTTAATTATTTGAATTATGAGTTGATTAAATGGAAAAAAACCATTTAAAATTGGAACAGAAAAATGCTTAAACCAGTCAAAGAGTTGGTTTGGATTTGTATTGGAAAATTCATTATTAGAAGGCTGATGAATAATAAACTGATAATGAGGAAATCAGCATTAAGATATATTTAAGGTATTACAAGATTAGGTATGTCAGGATCTTGAGTAGTTGAAGTAGATATATTGATGTATATTTTTGCTTAAGGATACTAGTAAAATTGTCTTAGTAAAATTTTGAGATATAATATTTTAAGAGATTTAGATAGTATTTTTAATAGAATTAGACAAAGATAGATACTACAAAGGTTTTTGTGTGACTACTGCAGCTAGTGTGGCTAGTATAACTACTATGGCTAGTGTGACTAGTATAACCTTGTATAATCCAAATTAGTTTAGAGTAGTACAAAAGTGTGGCTAATGTGGCTAGTGTAGCTGATATAACAAAAAAGTTATACATAATACTGAACTGTGTATTGGAATACAAAGATTATATAAAAATAGCAGTTGATAAAAATAGATTTGTATTATTAATTGAGTTACTATTTTAAGTAATTTGCTTGATACAATAGAAAATTTAATTAATTCTAGATTTGAAAGTGATTTTTTTGTTATACTAAAAATGGGTTTGGGGAAAAAAGTTGGAGGTAAAAACAAAGAAATTTTTTTTTAAAAAAAAAATTTTTATAGAGAAGCAAAGAAAGTTTGTGTTGGTATTTTGGTCAATATTAGGCTAAAAACCTCTATTAAGAGCTTGTTTTGATCAAGTGGATAAGCTTAACAACTTATCTTAGAGTTACCAGATAGATTGTAAAGACAGTATTAGAGAAATAGTTAGAAGTTTACATTTTAAAGCTAGAAATAGTTTTTGTAGCATTATACTATGAGTTTTTAAGATAAATACTTTAAACTTTCAAATTATATATAAAATTAAGAGCTAAACAAGTTTATTTAAGATATTAAAAGTAGTTGTTTTAGTAAAATATTATGTTATTAAAGATTTTTGACTAGCAAATTTTTAGTTAAATTTTGTATAAGTGATTGATGGAAAGAGTTTTTTCCAAGCATATTAAATTTTTTTTATCTTAACCAACTCTATAATACTATATACTAAATTATGATTCTTCTATTTTAACTATTGTTTGTTTAATAAAATTACTTTTTTTTTCTCAATATTCACAATTGCTACTGTACTATCTGTGAATATCTTAGTTTTTTCTTTGCTTTATATTATAAGAACTGCTAACCAAATTGCTATCAATTTTGACTTGGTTGATAAAGACCAGTTTTTAGAAGATTAAAACTCAGTTACTCCAAAATTCAAAACCTCGTGTAATGTAAGACAAGTAACCTTTTCGAAAGAGGATGTTAGATTTGGCTTGTGGCCAAGAAAGGCTTTCAGTTACTTTGGGTCAATGAATGCAAGTAGGGTCAGTCACATGGTCACAGGTTTGAACAGCAATGTTTATAGGGGTTCACAGAGTTTGTAATGGTAATAGTGTTAGTGTTTATTAAATACAATGTAGAGTATTGGAATTTATTATTTAATAAAGCAAATGAAGCATTGTGTGTTACTCTTAAGGGCCATTTCAACCTTTATTTATAATATAAAATTCATTCTTACTTATCCATTAAAACTAATTATAGTGATTTATTTAATATCCATTATTTCCTTCCTTTATTCCTTATCTACTCTTTTTCTGATCTTAAATGTAACTTATTATGTTTATTACATTTAAGGCACTTATTACATTTATTGCACTTAATGCATTTCATGCATTTTTCACATGATCGATCCTGATTTCCAGTATCACAATATCCGCCATCACAATATATTTACAAAGAAAAGTGAATGTAATTGATTCTTGGTAAAATGTATTTGTAAAGTTCAAGTTTTTTTTAGCAATTTCTTTATATAAATATGGCCTTATATTGTTGATTTTATAACCTTTTGTTTACTCTTTTAAAAGTTTAACTTCGGGATATAAAATAAATCTCATCATAAATTTTATTGAAAAGTTTTAATTCTAGGTGTTTGAGCAACAGATAATAGAAGATTTTTCTGAAAATATATGTTCTAAAGCAATTAAAATGGAATTAATATTTAAATAATGATCAAAGGTTAAACAGGTCCAATTTTTATGTGTACTTATGTTTCATTTCTTTGCTTATATTCTGTACTAAATTTAAAAGCAGTATAAACTTTCACATTATCAGTAAATGATCTTGAAATAAGGATTATTTTAAAAATTTTAAAATTAAGCTGTATTATTTATTTGAATAAGGTATATATACAAATTAAAAAAAGTTACAAAATTATTTATATCATAAAGGTTCATGCTGTATTACTGTAGAATATGCAAACATCCGAAACCTATAAGCTTCTCCATCAAATGTTCTCTTTTTTTTACAGATTTTTATCACACAATTATAAGAAATAAAATATATCTTTTCATCGAAACATTCATTATTGCAGTTGCCAAAAAAATGCTGGTTACTATATTTAATGCTCTCACATATAATTTTTACAGCAGTATTGTAATCACTAACCCCAAGATCTTCTATTATGAACCTAACACCCAATTCAGGAATGATAACCTCTTCTATGAATTTTTGTCCTACTTTAGGTTTCCATACTTTTGTGTTTTTCATCAAATGTTCTAATATTATTATGTACCCTTTTATTTCATAATATCCAAAAACTAAATGATTGATTTGTTGTACTCTAGTGAACATATTATTGAGTTGCCATTTGGATAAGAATTTGAAATCATTGTAATATTTGTATCTTTCTTTATATTCACATATATCGGTGATGTGTTTGATATTCTTTTTGGTTTTGAGTCTTCTTACCAATCATTTTAAATTTCCTTGTATTTCCTTTTTACTGATTTTGAGTGAATGATCGTTGTTAATAATATACATAAAATTATTATTACTAGTATTTGCAGCTGTGATAGACAGTTTGTTATCTGAATCAGTGATCAATATAACTTCTGGTGTTCCTACGTAGTGATTGCCTTGGTTTATTTTTTTGAATAAAATTTTATCTTTTGATGGAAGCTCATCATCTGAATCAGTGATCGATATAACTTCTTGTGTTCTCACATTGTGAATTTCTTGGTTTAATTTGTTTAATAAAATTTCATCTTCTAATGGAAGGTTGTCATCTGAATCAACTTCTTAATTAATGATCAATATAACTTCTGGTTTACTCATATAGTGATTGTCTTGTTTTAATTTTTTGAATAAAATTACATTTTTGATAGAAGTTCATCATCTTCATAGTTATGTTTAATGGCAAACATGTTTAATTTTTATTTTTGTTCAGAGAGGTTGTGGGTTTTTTTTGGATTTCATGATGTTTAAATAAAATATAATGTATGATACAAAATGTGAGTAAGGGCTGAAGGTGGATTACCAGACTCTGCTTCAAATAGAATGGGTGCAAGTTGCTTTGTGTTAATTATTCATTTTAAAAATTATTGCCAAAACACTGCAACTTGAGCAAGAATAATTTTCTAATTCTAATAAAGAATTTTTTTTTCACTAATTTTATCTTACATGTCATATAAGCAATATAATACATGCAGTGCTTTGGTAAGTTATTTTAAAAATAAGTATTTATTTAATACATGTATCAGTTGTTAGATAAATTTAAAATTTATTATAAATGACATTTTTTTTGTAAAAGATGTGTTTTATTATTTTATTATTACACTGAATTTTTCTTTTTATATAAAATTCTATATAACTTTAAATGAAAACTTATTTAAAATAAGAATTTATATCTTATGCTTTATTAATATGTTATTTTAACTGAATGGTTTCTTATGCTAAAAAATGTGTTACAAATATTTTAGTTTACATGTATAAAGTAAATTATACTAATTTGGTCCAATCCTCCAATCCTTTCAGGTACTTTAACTTCATTTCTTTGTTTAATATCTTTACTTACTACAAAAGACTTTTGTGTACTCATTTAAATGATTTTAAAACAAGGACTTCTTGAGCATTTTCAAGTAGTTAACTATATAGACTTAATTTGGAATTCTATACAAAATTGCCAAAACAAAGAAATGGAGTCTTATATGTTACTTTAAAGTCTATATATGTCTTTTAACTGAACAGTTATTTTTACAGCTTTATGGTTTTACTATAGTTTGTTTTTATTAGTTTAATATATAGTGTTTATGCATCACTATTAGAGTCTTTTTATCGAATGGTTATTTTTAACTTGTACTGTAATAGTAATACAATTTATATTCTAATAAGTTTATAATTCCAAATGATCTTACAACAACCAAGAAATAATAACATAAAAAAACTTTTATAATATTTGTAATTTAATTAATTATTGTTTAGGGATGATTTTTTTATAAAAGAATTAAAAATTTTGTATAATGAAATCGATCTTTTATTAAGATATGATATTGAGAAAATGAAATAATCAATTCAATGATGAAATATTTTTTATCAATCACAGAGAAGATATCAGAAAGGTGTTCATCAATACAAAATTTTTCTGCAAAATTAGTTGAATACAAACCATATAACATATTTATAAAAGAATACATTAGTGACTAAATCTCTATAAACATTAAAAAAGATCGAAGTGATATTTAAAACTATCAAAAAAGATTTATGACAGCAGAAAAAGAGTGGCATTTACTGAAAAGTTCCATCACAAAAAATGTTGTTGATATTTTAGAATATGTGTAAAAAGGCAATTTACACTTTATACCTAATTAACTTGTTAGAAATTATTTTACCAATATTATACATTAGATTATAATTCAATTTGAATTCTAATTTAGTAACAAATAATTCTTTTTCAGTGACAATTAAAACCAAAAAAATTCTATATTAATTTTCATAAAAATTAAGATAAAAATTATATTTATATATTGTTTTAAAATAAAAAACTTGAATTGTTTAAATTTTCTTTGATAAGTTAAACTTCATCGATTACAAAAGATTATATTACATTTATATTTGTCATTTTGCAAATACTATTGTATTATCAAATCTGAAGTATAATACACTATTGGTATGCAGAGAACCAAGTTTATGATGACCAGACTCAATGCACAAAGCAGGTTATAGCACTCTTCACAGCTGTGAGAGCCAGGCATATGGTGAGCAAATCTACAGAAGAATCTTCTACTTCCTTGAATTCCACTTCATCATCAAACATCAAGGAAGCATCACAAG